GATGCACTGAGGAAAGGAATGAAAGAAGGAAGGCAGAGTAGAAAGAGACGGTAGAATCAACAAAGTAGTACAAAGTGATTGGATATTGGAGGAAAGGGAGAGGAGGGACCTAGAATGATTCTCAACTTTGAAAGAAAATTAGACCCTGGTAACTGGACTAAAAAGGGTGGTTTGGAGACTACATTAGACTGATGGAGTTAACTACTGCAAATTGACCTGAAATCTCCCCTTCATCTATTATTTCTTGCCATGAGTTTTCTCTTGAATGGACTAATGAAGTTAATAAACTTTTCTAAGTAGTTAATCTTTCACAGGAAAAAATTAACAGGTCTTAGTGACTTACCCAAGCCAGTTATAATGTTCCCTCTCTTAATTCAGTACACTACACAGGACTCCTTAAAATTTAGTTCTTGGGGCATTTTTAACTCAATGTCAGAATTTCTCACTTGACTAAGCTGACTATTTGGAGAATCTATCCCCGCAACTGGAAAGTAAAGTTGGTGCTGCTGCCCTCTTTACATTGTGAAGTTTAAAATACATTGAATGTTTAAAGGACCTGCCTCATGACTGGTTCAGTAAATGCTAGTTTCTGTCTCCCTCCAAAGTGCATTTTCGAATGCATTCATACAAACATTTATTCAGTGGTTACTATTTCACACTGTGCTAAGTGCTAGGGAGAAAAAATGGAATTTAGTCATTGAAAACAAAGTTATAATATTTTTTCTCATTTCTGGATGTTGAGGTAAAATGCAATCCTCTACACCAGAGTGCCTGCCCCTGGACTGGGAGATTCTGAGAGCAGAGAACAGGCAGGTGTTTGTTACTTTTTATCCCTGGGCCTTAGCATGTGTGTTTATTAAATGTACTAGAGGTCTGGTGCACAAAAATTTGTGCACTCGGGGGTCCCTCAGCCCGGCCTGTGCCCTCTCGCAGTCTGGGACCCCTCGGGGGATGTCCACCTGCTGGCTTAGGCCTGCTCCCCGGGGGATCAGGCCTAAGCTGGCAGTCAGACATCCCTCTGGCAGCCCAGGAGCCCACAGGGGATGTCCACTTGCAAGCGGGGAGCAGGCCTGAGCTGCAGTCGGACATCCTTAGCGCTGCTGAGGAGGCGGGAGAGGCTCCCGCCACCACTGCTGTGCTGGCAGCCCTCAGCCTGGCCTGTGGCTGAGAAGAGCTCCTCCTGTGGGAGCGCACTGACCAGGGGGCAGCTCCTGCATTGAGTGTCTGCCCCCTGGTGGTCAGTGTGGGTCATAGTGACCAGTCATTCCCAGTCGTTCTGCTGTTAGGGTCAATTTGCATATTACCCTTTTATTATTTAG